TCCAAAGACCTGTGTGCCAAGAAAGGAAAGGGCAAAAAAAGCAGGTCCATCCTTTGTTTTAGTTAGACGGAGACATTTGGTGGTCTGATTGAAAGCTGAGAGTGTCAGCCGGTCCAGATGGAGGCCAAACACGGACAGACACTAGACTGTCCACAGCACTGACACATGCAGCCGTCTGTCAGAGCTGTCAACATGAGGAAACAAACAAGGAAAAGAGCCGCTGGACTCGACCCAAGCACCATGCTCTGGGGGAAAAACAGGCAACCCCCGGACACACGCTGACACGCTCTACATAGACGCGGCTACACTAACATAAAAGAGACCCTGTTCTTCCTGACCAGCTGTGAAACATACTGACACCTAAGCAAAAAGCTCCTGCGCAGTCAGATGAGGATGTCTACATAGAAAGGGGTTTGATAAACTATAACTTTTATACTATATAAAGATATTAAAAAAATTCAAATCATGATTAAATTGATCAAATTATCATGGAAATAATTGTGGTTTTGGTAATATGACCTAAAATGTTAAAAAATTAGACGCTCCATCTGTTTTTTTTTTTTTTTTTATCTGAAATGAATAAACAGCAAATAAAATCTGCAGCTTTTTGCAATTTTTGTGGCAAACAACACAAGAATCTGCGCATGTTAGATGTTTGCTTATGTTTGTATTATTTCATGTACCAAAAATGCGTCTTGTCTTGAAAGTTTTGATTTTCTTGTTGTTTGCTAAACCTGCACTTGGAAATAACCTCACAGGGAGCCACGTAAACCTTAGTTTTTAAAAAACAAATCTGCATCAAGCTGTTTTATAAAAGCCAAAAAGTGCTGTGTAATTTGAGAAAAATATGTAATTGTGATTTTTCTGACTGATATCGTTATTTGACTTGTGTTTTAATTTTGTAACCTCAAGCTTCAGCAGAGTATTCTAAAAAATGTACTCCACACACTTTAAAGTCCCATGAACTGGAAGCTGTGGCCATGATTTTTTTTTATATTGTGATGCAGTTCCTAGAGAAACTGAACATTAAATGAGCAAATAGTGGGCGTGGTTTGTTTTGGATTTGGGGAGAGTTTTTACAACCTAACAGTCTCCTCCTGCTCGCCATTTCTGTTTGTTGTCAGCGTGTTTGGAGCAGCGTGGTTAAGTATGTTAGCCATGCCCAATTCTGTGATCTGACAAATTAACTGAAAAAAAAAACGAAAGTGCTTTTTCAGATTTGAATTAAAGATTAGAAGACTAAACCGTTTCTTTTCTTAATGGCTTGCACAGGATCTGGTTGGTTTGGATTTCTTGGGGACTTTAAATGCAAGGAACACACAATAAAATATATTTATTAACAGTCTATAAACAAGCGCTTACATAGAAGGTAATTGCAATGTTACAGAATTTACAGTGATTTCAAAAAATCAGATAATCAATGAAGAAACAGTAATAAAAACCATCAGAAAATTTACAGTGGTTTACAATGAAACAAGTAATTGTGACAACACTAATACTACACTTTACAAATTCAATACAATATACCATCATTAAAAACCACTAAAACCACACTGACTGAAGTTGTATAATGTAGATATTTTTGAAAAGGTTTCCACTCATTTCACTCACTGAGACTTCTCTTGGCTATTTTTACTTGGCCGTCTGCTTTTTCTTCTTCTGTTTGCAGACCAGTGACATCATTCCCAAATGTGCCTAATCAGTTGGAAAATTCTGATGTCTCAAACCAGAGATTCCCAAACCTTTTTGTCAGTTAAATCCTTTTTGACCTAAAATGGTGTGTAACTTTGCTTTTTAAGCATAAAAACATCTGCAAATTTACAAAGCAGACAAAGTTCACTCCGAAAAATGTATTCTATATTTGCTATTATATTCTCATTCATTCATGCATTTTCTTTTCGGTTAGTGCCTTTATTAATCTGGGGTCGCCACAGTGGAATGAATCGCCAACTTATCCAGCATATGTTTTACGTAGCGGATGCCTTTCCAGCTGCAACCCAGTACTTGGAAACATCCATACACAACCATTTACACTTATACACTACGGCCAAATTAGTTTATTCAATTTCACCTGCACCGGATGTCTTTGGACTGTGGGGGTAACCAGAGCACCCGGAGTAAACCTATACAAACATGGGGAGAACATGCAAACTCCACACAGAAATGCCAACTGACCCAGCCGAATCTCAAACCAGTGACCTTTTTGCTTTGAGGCGATCTACTGTAGCTACCCACTGCACCACCGTGATGCCTCTATTCTATTCTGTTCTACTCGATTTTATTTTATCATGTCACAATTTCTCAAATTTAAATAACTGCATTAATAGTATGTTGTTACCATGTCAGAGTTGCTCATTTTTCTCAGATCAAAAATATTTCTTATTTCTTCCCTATTTGTTTACATACACATAACCAACAACATTATAAGAACTTTTTTTTGTGTGTGTGTGTGTGCATTTGACATAACATATAGAAATTTGACAGCTGACCAAAAGACAACAATAGCCCCTTTCACACAGTGATACCGGTAAATATCCGGAAAATTTCCGGAACGACTTTACCGGTATATACAAAAAAGCGCTGTTCACACAGGCGAGGACGTTACGGAATTTTTCCGGAAAAGAGCATTCACACATCCATTCCAAAATACCGGTAAATTCTGACATCATTCACGACAAATGAGCTTTAAACGGCTGCGCTTGTATTTGTAAACATTTGACTAAATTACAAACTCTTTTGATGATCAATATTGTAAACAACTTTCACAGGATCATATTCGCATGTCGAGATGTTCATAAAATGTGCGTGTGCAGGCGCTCACAGGCTGTTTCATGGGCACACGCAAAGCTTGAAGGTAAACAAACAACGGCTTATCATAAGCATCTCATCGATGATTATTTACACAGTTGGCATTAAGAAGAACATATAAACGTTATCTGACTAACTTCTAGCTGCTAAATGTGTCTGGAAAAATATTCAAAGGCTTTTATTCTCACAAATCGCGCGGACGTAAATGCGTCTGACTGTTGTGATTGGCTAAAGCAGAAGTCTTACGTCAGCACGTTCTAGACGTGCACACGCTTATTACGGAAATCTTACTTCTGCGTTCACACAGCGCAGCATTGCGGCAAATTGCCGGTAATGTTACAACTTCTCTTTCCGAAAAATAGCCAGAACGAATTTACCGGTATTTTCAAAAAGGACCTGTTCACACATACAACCTTTCCGGAAAATTGCCGGCAATTTTCCGGAAAGGTCTGTATGTGTGAAAGGGGCTTTTGTTTAACACTTACATAATGTGATATGACTCTCTGTGCACTCAGAAAACCATATATCCAATACTGGTCATAGCCATAAAAGCATAGCCCAAACTCATACACACTTAAAAGGATTTGCATTTTCAAGGTTTGTACAGTTCCTACAGTATTTGCATCACAGAACGGGGAAATCATTTTTGTTATATGCGAGCCTTTTGAAGGAACTAAATTAGTTCCTCATGAAAGCCACAACAATCAACAAAAATAAACAACTACAATTAGTACATCCTCCAGTTGCAATTTAGTTGATTCAAAACAGTTTGGCGTGTTGGTCGCTGTTAACTAACACTGTTAGAACACATATATAACACTAAAAAGTGAAGAAAAAAAAATTTTTTTTTAGTTATTTCGAGCAAATTTGTTCTTCCGGTTTGAAACAAATTTTTGAAGCTGCATCACAGTGATTAGATTCTTGCGTGTATTCCAGCGTGGAGAGTAGATGTCTGTACCTGGGAGTATATCATGACATCTCTGAGTGTGCAACATTAATTAATGAGAAAGACTTGGTTCAAACCAATCAGCGTGCTCTTGTGTATGAGGCGCAACTTCATTAATGTGCACGATAGCTTCGAAGACTGTTTTTACTGTTGTGTGGAAGAAGAAGAATGGTTTGGAGATAGTCAGCAATGCATTTATAAATTTGCTGCAATGAAGGTTCTGTATTCATTTCCCCGCTATGAGAGCGCAGCTGGAATCACGTATCGAATACAGTGCATGCGACAACATTTTTTACCCGAGAGCTTTTTACATGTGGAAATGATGAAATCCCGATTTGCTGCTCGTCTTCTTTTTAAAAAGACGCGGCTCTAGTTGGTGTTGATTGTCCTGTCTCTACAGATTTGGTAAGCGATCAATGGTCTTTGTTTGTTTATTCAGATGGCAAAGTTAGTTCGTATCATCAGCAGTATTCTATCAATGTTTAAAGACAGACCTTAGTCAAAAATATTTAGTTACAGTTTACAGTACTTTAATATTGCTACAATATTATGGGCTGAAAGATCCGCTGTATATGCGGCTCTCTGAGTATAAACATGTAAACACCGCTATCAAACTGTTACCATCGTGTAGTATTTTCGCCACATTTTGTGACAGGCTAGTCTATACACACACAGCTTTCTGAAGCTACCTACCGAGTGCATCTAAGTTATAGAGAAATGCAAAGGTTTTCTTTTTCTCCCAATTCACCATGAGGTATCAAACATTGCATTAAAACTACACTCTTCCAGCATTTCCTTGAAGCAAATATCTCATTTGTCACGGGGGGCATGCATGAAGTGTTCCTGAATGAAAGTGCCGAACTGCAGTTAAGAATTTGGCAAATAATTTAATTACTGATGTCCATGTAAACACAGTCACTGCCTGGATGTACAAGTACAAGATGTCCAAGTACACTCAAATAACTTCACATAATGAAAAAGGAGGGACAGATTTAGTGCACATGTTTTACTTTTTCGAAAAAAAAAAAAAAAAAAAAAAAAAGAACAAATCAACAGACTGGGGTAAAAATTCTGAAAAATTCTGAACAAAATACTTTATACCTTACCAACAAACCAATTTTTGAAGAGACACTAACTTATAGCTCAAACTAAAACAAGTTTGACTAAAATCAACCAAAAAAAAAAAAACTAAAAAAAAAAAAAAAAGGTTTGACAAATGCAGATATGACCAATGCAGATTTCTTACCTGGCTCCGGTGACGTCAACCCCAACCATCAGCTGTCCGTTCAGTGACAGCAGCTCATCCCGCAGCTTAATATCTCCACAACGGGCCGCTGGACTGTTCTTTTTCACTTCAGTCACCCAAATACACCCAACATCCAACACAGGGCCTTTATCACCCTTCCTGCGCCTCCTCCTGACCCCCTTCTTCTTCCCTTCGGGGTCTCCAAATATTGGAATATTTCCAAAGCTGAGTCCAAACTCTGGTCCATCTTCCTCAGACTTGTTCAGACAGACCGCCTTTACCTCTGCATCAATTTCCTCTCTAAGTGGGTTAATGCTGTACAAAGGACTCTCAACTTCAGTAAAGTTTAGCTGGATGTATTCCACAAGTTTACGGATGGCAGGCTTGCAAACTGTGCTCATCCGAAGTACATCACCCTCATCTCTGTCCTCTTCTCGAGCCCTAAGCCAATTCTCCAGCAGGAGGAGATGGCTCAGGGCATTTTCTTGGGTGATAGGCATCTTAGCTGCTGCTCCTGGGCCTGTCTGGGCCACCCCCGCATGTTGAGTCAAGGCCCTCCAGTGGCAACTGTAATCAGATGCATTAAAACGGCTTCACGTTTCTCTTGAAAGGACACCATGACCTCACAGACTTCAGGCCCAGAGCGCTGGCATCCAGCGATGATACTCCTACACCACAGAGGCCCATGATGTCATCCAAAAGGACAGTGTGGAGACTGAGGAAGTAGGCCAGGTTTACGAGTTGAGGGGTAACAAGAGAACGTGTGCCATTAGCGGGTCTTCTTGGTGTGCGCCAAATCTGATTTCCAAAACCATTAAAGTGGAAAATAGCAGATCACTGGGAGTCAAGATCTATCCTGATTCTCAGGCGCCACAGACATCCACCTAATCAGAAAGAAAATAAATAGAAACGCCATTACAAAGAGAGTCTGCAGGCATGAACTCATGTTAAAGCACTGAAGTCATGGCTCATTTGCTACGCAACCACAATACGAACAGAAACTGGCGTAAGTATGACAACAAAGAAAACTGCCTATATACCAGCCGTTTTCATTGACTGACAGAATTCATGAACTGGAAATGGTTCCAATAATAGTCCTATGGGCCTTTTATAGATGCGCCGTTTGGCTGTTTATACAGACATTCAGCTGAGGCGGAATCAATGCGGTTGAGATTATTCAATGCACACACAGTGAGCAGACAGAAAAGAAAAGCAAACTTCCTTTCGGTTATTATTCACCTTAACCCTATGGAATGTAACCTGATGATGAACGTTGAAACTGGCAGCCAGATGTTGATATTGTGAAGGTGCAGTTTAAACTCTTGGACTTGCAGACCGCATTTCTGGCATATTTAAATATATGCTGTAGACAAAGACCACAATCAAATTGCTACTCTAGGCTTTTGCTCAAAATAACACCATGCCTTTGGCCTCTTTGAGCATCATTCTACTGCTTCCAAAGCAATCCAGCTCTTTCTGTGAGATTATGGAGCACTTATGTATAACAAAATATCACAACTTTACATTAATGTCCATTACTGACAAAAAAAAAGATTAAACTGCGAGAAGATTACTTAGTGCAGTTATATAAACAAGAGGGGGATGCATTACCAACTGTCAGCTGAAGTCATGTGGACCACACTAGAAGAGTAAAATGACAGCTAATACCAGAGGACAGAAGCCACCACCCTTTTCAAGAGTTTAACCTCAATAAGTCACAAGCATTTTATAAAAGGCCAAGCTAAACCATGTGTATAAACATAAAGGCATGCAATATGGCATCATCTCATTTTATATTGCAAATGAAAACATGCTTACAACAAAGCTTTGACTTTACATGTTATTAACACTATCATAACAAAATGCTACAACAGTTCACAACATTATCCATGATTACTTTCTAAACTAAAAATCTGAAAACACATTTATCACCATCTTTCTCCTACCTTTTTCACATTTTTGGGAGATTTTTTCCAATCCTTAGTCCATTTCAGTGCACAAACCCTCTGCCTCTCGGTGGGGTCTGCTGTCACAGTGACACAGAAGGTCTGCAGACCCCAGACTCACCCTCCGAAAAGACCCACATGTAATAGGATTAGTCTCACCCCTCCCCTGTGCCACTTACAAACACAATGACCTCCCATTTTCTCTTCGGGTGAGTCGCTGAATGGCCAGTTCAAGTGTTTGTATTTCTGCCATCATGTCATTCATGATTATTGATGCTTTTGTTCCTCAGATAAAGATGAGTCTTTTAACAAAGCAAACAGAGGTATATAAAACACTAGAACATTTAAATGGAGAATTTGCAGACATGCTTTAATGGTTTATTTAGACCAAACTAAAAGAAATGAAAATAAATTGTCAATAAGCGGTACTTAAAAAAAAATATATATATATATATATAAAATATGTCAAGAGGAATTCTAAAATTATAAAGACCGTTCACTCCAAAATGAAATTGTATTCACTATTTACTCACTAAAGTGTTTCCAAAGCTTTTTGAGTTTCTGAAAACCTGTAACATACCACATTCACAGCAGAAAAAACAAACAAAAGTCAAAAATATTTACAGGTGTCCAGCTTTGTTCAAAATATATGTTTTTGAAACAAATAAAGGGTGAGTAAATATCGAAACAATTTTCAGCATTGGTAAACTATCCCTTTAAAACTATGAATATGTGATACAGTTTTTTTCACATGTTAAAATGAGTACAGTTTAATTTCTGAGCAAACAGTAATGACTATCATGTCATGATTTACAATAGACACCTATTAAAAAGTCATTTAACGTAACCATTGCTCAAATACCCAAAACTTTTGTCAGGCATATTTAAAATAAGAATCATTTAATGAAATATTAAAAGACGATTTAAGGAGCCCCATAATCTGAATTAATTGTCATTTTAATTGTCTTCAAAGCATTAGGGATTACTTGTTTGTCAGCAAGAGGTTTTCAAACACTTAAAATGTAATGAAATTGGTATAATCACTTCAGGTCAGACTAGAGCTGCACAATAGTCGCAGGATCTGGAATGTTGAGTTTATGCATTGGGATTCTATTTGTCCAGGAGCCACAGTTTAGAACACATGATATTTATGAAGTCACTGCAGAGTTTAACCATAATGGGGTAAAGGTTTCTCATTTGCATCTGTTTTTAAGCCCTGTCACTGTTCAGGCACCAGAAGCTGTACCATTTGCATCTTTTAATAAAGATTTATTTTGTTGAATTACTTTTACAATGAAGGCTACACAGGGTTTTTACATATAATTATTCAATTTCTGAACATTAATATTGTTAGACATTATTATATAATGCTTTTTTGTCCACATCACTTATATTTGTTCTGTTGTATTAATCTATGCTTTTATTTTGGTCATTTTATTTTATGTGTGATTCACTCCTATACAGAATCAACCCAATCAATCTAAATTAATGAATTCTTTCCAAGCTATTTAGTGAAATTGTATTCATATCACTATATATATAGCTAAAAAACAAAATATAGTCATGTCATTTTTCCAATATCGTGCAGCCCTAATATGCAGTTTCATTCTTACTATAACAGTTCTTTAAAAATCAATGGCAATCAAAGCCAATTCCTGCAGTTCGGTGACAGAAAAAGTGCCAATGGCTATGAAAAGAGCTTCTGCCAACGATAACATTCCCATGAACAAGCCTCATGATAAAGAAAGCTGTTGTTTTCCATTGATCTGACCCATTTTGAAAGCAAAGAAAAGGGGATTAAAGCTAAAGAGGACTTTTCTTTGATATTCATTACATATATTTGGCTTTATCCACTGCAGACACAAGCGTAAAAGCACTCCATTTGATAGTGTGACAGGAAACCATGTGTCACTAGTAAAAAACAAAACAAAACACAAACAATACTGGATGATTAGGGCTGTAAAACTGCGAATGCCACATGGTTGAAATAAAGCAGCCTTTTATATTAAAACAAACAAGACTTAGCATCATGAAAATCAGGTCGTGCGTCTTGTCAAGAGCAGGTTTTAAAAAGATCAATGAGAAAAGATTAAAGAAGTCTTATGTGGCTAATAATGAACATTAAAATCTGTGCTTGGGTCTCTGATTAATTAAAACAGCAACTTTTTGGATTATACTAGAACAAAACACTTCACCATCTTAGCCAAACAATGACATAATGGAAGCTGAGCTCAGAGCTCTGTAAATACATTCAGAATAAAGAGAAAGAAATGAGAGAATTTTCAAAGAAAAGCACAGATCCAGAATCCAACAGCATTTGTCACTCTTTAAGGGTGGTCTTTCAACTTCTCTTTGTTTTATCCATTAGGATCACATTACTGAGCTCTCTCGTCATTTAATGTAGCCGTTCATCATGGACGTAGATGTTTTCATCCTGAAACTTTGCTTCACTTCCCATACACACCCTTGACACACAACTCACACTGAGAAGTGATTCCTGAAAAAAAGAGCAATATCTCAAAAAATGAAGGCTGTGGTTGCCGCAAACTGACTGACAAATAACAAAGTTGGATGCCAACTGTGGAAACATGAATTAAGTCAAGTTTTCTGAAGAACAGCCATATTGCCACTAATCACAGAGGTCTTGCTGAGAAGGGCTTGATCCAGCATGAGGTTCTGCCCTCAGGCTAACGTCACTGCTTTATAATCTATAGCCATCGATTATGTGGTGAACTTCATTTTTTCTTTGATCAGAGACATCTGGTTCTTTATGACTTAAGTAATGGATATCGTAAACGAATAAATACTGGATTTTGCTCAACAACATATATCTATTCATGGGATCGAGCAATTTGCGATGTTAAACGGCATGTTTTGTTAGCTAATGAGGTACTAGAATTGCAGGATTCAGTGTGCAATTCTACCCTAGTTCACACACGCCACTGTCAGATCGCCAACAAAGACTGGTTAATAGAGCAACAAATCGTAGCTTAAAAGTGGCTGCAAGAAACTGGGTCAGCAACTAGCGGCATCACACCACATTTGAAGCAATCATTTTTATAGACCTTATTTGACAAGACGTAGTGCACTAACTGAGAAGCATACTGAGTCCAGAGGAAATCCTTCCAGTGCTGTTTAATATTATGAACGCAGATGGACAACATCGAGGGCAATCTGCTCAGGGTCTGGAGCTCTAATCCTGGACAGTGGGTGGAGGGGTTACCCAGGATTCACCAAAATTTGGGGGGTGGAGAAGAGGGGGAAAAGTCTCCGAGCTTAAAGTCCAAGGTATGCTGTATTTCATCAACACCGCAGTAGAGTTTAAATAGCCAGTAAATTATATTTTGTAAAAAAAATATTGTGAAAAGTGTACATCATTTCCATTAAAGGTTTTTTTATTCTTTAAGATGGTTTCTGTTAGTGGTTTTTATTATGCTGATTTATGTTCATATGTTGTTTTTCTAATATATATGCTTTTATTTGGTTATTTAATTAAGAACTTGAGAGATAACTCCAATAAATATTCAAATTTTTTTTACAAAATTATTAAATAATAAAACATTGATTAATTGTATTTAAATTATATTAATAATTTATCGTTTTATTTCTAACACATTTTTAAATTATAATATTACAATACTATTCAAAATAAGGAATTATTACAAACCTGATTTATCACCATTAAGGTTATTATTAAGTATAAGCTAGGTAATGCTTTGTTATTAGTATAAATATATTAGTATATAAATATATACAGTGATGTAAAGTAACAAATTACAAATATACAAACTACTGTAATTAAGTAATTTTTCCACTTACTAAGTGGATTTAAAAATGTTTACTTTTACTTTCCCTTAACTTTTAGTGCAGTATTTTACTACTTTGCTTCAACCTGCAGTCACTACTATTTTCTTGTCTATGGGGATTAGAAAACGTCC